TCAGCTGCCTCCTGCCCTTCTGGGAATCAAGCCTGCAACTGGGCATGTGCCCCTAACCGGAATCGAACCTGGGACCCTTCAATCTGGAGGCCGATGCTCTGTCCACTGAGCCAAACCGGCTAGAGCAGTTTCTTAGTATTTTTATTAAGAGTTTACATGAGTTCTTTATAAGGCAATTGCCTTTTGCTTTGAAGGTGCTTTCGAAATTTTCCTACCCACCCATCAGTTTTTACCAAGTTTCCAGATTTATGCAGCTGGGGCAGCAACCCCCTTCTTGTGTGAATGTTGTCAAAGCTTTTATTTCTTGAAGCAGAAGTGGCGCTGATATGAGAAACAGAGTATTAGAATTCATCCAGAATTAAGAAGGGGAGTGGGCAGCAAGGAGAAAGGGTAAAGAATTCATTGCCATTGATTATGGAAGGAGGGAGTTAAGAGGTAGGAAGTGGTGGTCTGGTATAGGGTTGTCTTAGTTGTCTTTTGAAAACTTTTGTTCAACCTCTCTGTGGAACATTTCCTCATAAGCAGCCCCACTATGGCACATCAATAAAGTTGCTGTATGATGTGGTATGTGAAATGGCAGCCTGAATGTAATGTGTCCTTTTGAGTCCTCAGTGCCTTTGCTGTTCCCATCTTGTTCTTCTCAATATGGACTGTCTTTGCTTACTACTACTTAAAAAAAAAAAAAAAAAAAAAAAATATATATATATATATATATATATTATATATATATATATATATATATATATATATATATATATAAATAATTGATTTTTTACAGAAAGGAAGGGAGAGGGATAGAGAGTTAGAAATATGGATCTGCCTCCTGTACACCCCCTACTGGGGATGTGCCCGCAACCAAGGTACATGCCCTTGACCGGAATTGAACCTGGGACCCTTCAGTCTGCAGGCTGACACTCTATCCACTGAGCCAAACTGGTTAGGGCTCTCTGCTTACTTCTACTCACTGTGCCTTGCTGCTGAAGAGCCAGGCTTCAAGATTTCTTTCAGCAATTTTTTTTCCTGCTAAGTCTGCGTATTCCTTCCTTGAAAAATAAAATAGCTCTTATTAACACCTGAGTTAATACCCAAAGCATTATGTGTTAAAGGAATATTAACAGCTAAAAACTACTTTAAAGAAGTTCTCTTACTTTATGATCTAGTCATACTTTTTAATTTAGTCACCCAGAACAATTTTCAACTGGGTGTGCTGCAAGAATTTTAAAAACATCAATACCTGACTATTTAGTCAGGAGCACTGACCTCTTTTCTTTTAGATTGTCAAATAAAAAATGACAACAGCCAACACAACAATAGCCATCATGTGTGAATGAATACAAATTATACTTCTTCTTTTTTTGTCAGATAAAAAAATGTATTTTTGGTGTGCTGCAGAATTCTAATAATTAGTTTAGGTGTGCCATGAGTTGAAAAGAGTTGAAAATTGCTGATTTAGAGCATGTTAAGAAAGAAAATTCAAGGAATTAATATTAGAACAGTCATCTCCTTTAGGACTCATCAGGACTATAATTACCTTACAGGGTGTTATTGTTATTTCCAATTTACCTGTGAGGAAACTGGTATCAGAGAAATTCAGTACTTGTCCAGCATCAGTTAATAAGCAGCAAAGTTTGGTCCCGAGCCCAGGTCTCCCTGACTCTAGAGCTAGCGTCTTTTCATTATTATGTTCTTCTGTCTGTCTTTCCACATGTGGAGACGGGGATATACATAGTCAGGGCAAAGACACCATAGAAGCCTCAGTCAGTTTTGGGAAGTCAGTATACTAAAATCCTTCACTCCTGAATGCAAACATGGAATCTTATCTCATCAGACATGACCTTGTCAGCTTTTCAATTACCTGGAAGAAACAGTTATATGGATTCAGACTATTTCCTAGTAAACTGAGTTAATGTGACATGAGTCACCTCTGTAAAAGCATACGTGCAAAGTCAAAGGATCGACCAGACAAACTATTGGAATTACTTCTGTGGTGGCTATGGAGATTGACTGTTCACAGACTGACTTGCTAATAAGGAATTTTCTCAGGGCCTAATATAAAGGAAACTCTTAATAGCAAGATGTTATTTTTCCATTAAGCAAAAGGATTTAATTTTTCAAGTCTTTATAAATCATAACTAATTGTAACCAACAATAACTACCATTTATGAGCACATATTATATACTGGGAACTATGCTTTTTGTATATTCTGTTTTAATTCTCACAACAACCTTTTGAAACAGATATTATTCCACTTTTATGGAAGAGGAAACTGAGGCTTGACAGGAAAATAATTTCCCAAGATCACATATAGTACTTAGAAAGCAGCTAGAGCTGGATATACATTAATTCAAAAGCTTATTCTCCAAAGAGTTCAGATTAAAAAAAGTTTGAGAATACTAAATCCAGTATGATAGTCAATATATTGTTTTAAGAATTTATGGTAAGACTGTGGTATAAGAACAAAGTAATAACAGTTTTGAGAATAAAGGCTGCTTGTGTGGAGATAAAGGATGGAATCAGGAAGAAGCACATAGCTAATTTGTATTGGTATTGTCTAGTTCTTAAGTTGGATGATTGGTTTATACATATATTTTGTTCATATTATAAAACATTTTAAAACTCACATATTTGTATTATGTTCCATTGTCATTCGTTTCATTTTCATAGGAACCTTGATAAAGGTCACTGTTGATCCTTGCCTAGACTTGTTTTTTAAATATTGAGGTGTCAATATTTAAATAATTTTTAAAATGAAAAGTGGTATATGCTCACTGAAAAAAATTGGCAAAATAGAAAAATAATCATCCCAAATAATCACCCAACACCTCTTCTTCCCACCCACTTAGTTGATATTTTAGTATATTTCCTTTCAGTCTTTTTTTTTAAATTGTTTAAAGTATTATAAATAGTAGTATATATGTCTCCTTTTTTCCCCCCCATTGACCTTCCCCCGGCCTCCTCTACTCCCCAGCAATGTTACCCCCCCCCCCCCCCCCCCCCGCCCCAGGGTCTTACGTCCATTGGTTATGCTTATATACATGCATTCAAGTCCTTCAGTTGATCTCTTACCATTCCCCCAACCCCCGCTAGGCTTCCCAGTTTAATTTAACAGTCTGTTCAATGCTTCTCTGCCTCTGTATCTACCTTTTTGTTCATCAGGTTATAATGTTCTTTATTATCCACAAATAGTGAGATCATGTATTTTTCTTTCACTGACTGGCTTATTTCACTTAGCATAATGCTCTCCAGTTCCATCCATGCTGATGTAAATGGTAAGAAATCCTTTTTTTTTTTTTTTAGCAGCTAGTATTCCATTGTGTAGATGTACCATAGTTTTTTAATCCGCTAATCTGCTGATGGGCATTTAGGCTGTTTCCAAATCTTAGCTATTGTAAATTGTGCTGCTATGAACATAGGGGTGATATATCCTTTCTGATTGGTGTTTCTGTTTTCTTGTGATATATTCCTAGAAGTGGTATTACTGGGTCAAATGGCAGTTCCATTTAAAATTGTTTGAGGAAATGCCATACTGTTTTCCACAGTGTCTGCACCAGTCTGCATTCCCACCAACAGTAGAATCCTCTCCAGCACTTGTCATTTGTTGATTTGTTAATGATTACCATTCTGACAGGTGTGGGGTGGTATCTCGTTGTTTTAATTTGCATCTCTCAGATGATTAGTGACTTTGAGCATGTTTACACATGCTGTAACATGAAAACATACGTTAAATGAAGGAAGCCAGTTACAAAAGCCCATATATTGTATGATTCCATTTATAGGCTATGACCAGAATAGTCAATCCACAGATTAATGATTGCCTAGGGCTGAGAGTATGGGGGGAAATTGAGTATGAATGTTAATAAGAACAGATTTCTTTTTCAGTTAACAAAATGTTCTAAAATTGGTATGGTGATGGTTATACAACTCTGGATATACTCAAAACTATTGAATATATGTTAATTATAGCTCAATAAAGTTTTATATTAAAACAAAAAAGAATGATGACAGCTGAGTAAGGATGGGTATTGGAGGTATGATGATTGTGGAAAAGATATGAAATAAACTCTGGGAGAGTACAAGAATATACTGACTGGAAATATATTTATTGGGGGGTGTGATTGATAGGCAGTACTTGAGGGGCCTATTGAAGTTTGTGGACTTAAATATAATGTGAGCTCAGTTGGCACTGTTGTGCTGCTTAGGTAGGAACAAATAATAGGTGGAGTGCTGGACTTAACTAAAATTGGGTTTTGCCAAGGAGTGCAAAAGAAATTAGAAGTAAGTTGAGGGAATACTCAAGGGAATGATTAGATAACCATGAGATCTAACTTAGGAAAGAAGGAAATTGAGAACATAAGAGGGCAAAGAACACTGAAAAAAGTGATAGTTTGGAATTAGATATCCTAGAGAGGCTGAGAAATTATTGGAGTTAAGGTATTTAGAGGGAGTCAGAAAAGATCAGTGGTGGTGGTCAGAAAATGGGACATCTGAAATTGAGAGCTTATAAGTGGCACTATTACAACCAGGGTTTCTCATTGGAATCATGAAACATAGACAATGAACAGATTGTTATCCTACTTCTCTCAAGGATGGTACAAAACTGGTACCAACTATTCTAGATGCAGCGGACAAAGATCAACTCATCACATACAATGTATGCCTCAAGGCATTAGGCTTACTTCTTTCTCAGAACCCCCCCCCTGAGAAAGGCTGGGATAGTCATCAAGGAACTGAGAGGCAAGAGCATTTGATGCATCATACCTTAGGTTGAAACCTATAAAATCTACAACTTGATATGCTTCAGTGTAATACAGTTTATAGATATTTAAATCACCAAGAATGATGGCAGGAGTGGTGAAGAGAAAGACAGTGATATATTAAAATTTTCATTGAATGGTTGGGAAATGTGGGTGGCTCGTGGAGGGCAGGTGATCAGGAGAACAAGCAATGACTACTTCAGGGTTGGGTAGCAGGGGTAACACTGATTTGTGCTTCAAACTAGGTTTTTCCAGTAGGCTGGAAGCAACGAGGAAGAAGAGGATATCTACCCCAACCCCAGGTCAGTATTGCTATGGTGTGAGGAAGAAGGTACAAGGCAAAGAAGTATCCTCCGAGGACAGCCATCTTTCAGTGAGATCAAGGAGATGAAGAGAATGTTCAGAGGAGGCTGAGAATGTCATGGGAGTGTGTGACGGGGGGTTGTTGATCACTGGCCGGAATTCCAGAAGGCAGAGTCATTTCGAGAGTAGGAGTGGATGATTGGGTCAGATTAGAAAAGCCTTCCCAGAGTCAGAGTAGAGTTTTGTGGGGATGAGAGATGCCAGGGAGGCTTGGATTTCTTGTGGTGTCAAGGTAAACAAACAAGGCATGTTTTATCCTGGTTATCTCTTAAAGAAGCAGTGCTAGGCAATAGAACTGTCTGTAATGACAGAAATGTTCTATATCTGTGGAGTCAAATATGAAAGCCGTAGTCACATGGCTATTGAGCACATAAAATGTGGCTCATGGGACTGAGATGAATTTTAAATTATATTTAACTAGAGGCCCAGAAATTCATGCATGGCGGGGAGTGGGGGTCCCTCAGCCTTGCCTGCACCTTCTTGCAATCAGTGACTTCTTGGACATCCCTCTTGTAATCCGTGACTGCTAACCGCTTGCTTGCCTGCCTGCCTGCCTGCCTACCTGATTGCCCCTAACCACTCTGCCTGCCTGCGGATTGCCCCTAATCACTCGCCTACCTGACTAATCGCCCCTAACCATTCGCCTGCCTGCCTGATTGCCCCTAACCACTCTGCCTGCCTGCCTGATCTCCCCTAATTGCTTGCCTGCCTGTCTGATCGCTCCTAACCACCTCTGCCTCACCCTCTGCTTCAGCCCTGCTTTGTCTGGAAGGACATCGGGAAGGTCATTCAGCTATCTGATCTAATTAGCATATTATGCTTTTATTATTATAGATTCTAATTAAGATTTAAATTTAAATAGCCACATTGCTATTAGGCTAGTTCTTATGGGAGGTCAGCACATTGAGGCAGGCAGCATGCAGGTGAAGTGCACCTTTCCTTCTTCCTCTTACAGCCCACTGAGGAGTATCTGGCTGGGTGAGGGGCACTTTTACTAGGAACATAAAGTCTATGGCCTCCTCTTATTTTCTGCTGAGGTGGTTTTGAGGTTGAGGGAGATAAATTGAGAATGACAAATCTCTCTTCTTTGTATATATAATTTCTACTCCTCAAGGAGCCATTTGTTTCACTCTTATAGTTCTAGGCCATATGCTTTATTTGTGATTGCTTGTCTTTGGATTTTTGGAAACAAATGTGCTGATATTTACATAGTATTGATAATTGTTCTATAATTCTTTGGTTATTTGCTGTTCATTCTGTTTGTACAAATCAGTATGGGAACCACTTAAAACTAAGACCTAACTCAAATTTTAGACAGGTTGAGAAGTGCTTATCTTAAGGATGGGCTTAAATCTTTGGCTAAGGCTAAAAAATAAGTCTGGAGAAATAATAATGATAATTACAATTAACAACTTATGTTTGATGAGTGCTTTCTGTGGGCTGGAAACTCTTACAGCTTATTTGGATTACCTGATGTGATTCTTACCAAAACTCATGAGGATAGATGCTGTATCATCTCATTTTGTAGATAACTCAAACTAATACTCAGCTTAAGTTATTTGACTATGATGAATAGCTAGTAGAGTCCCAGTTTGGACATCATTTTGTCCAACTCTAAAGTTAGTGTACTTTATTCCACAAGCATTACTGCTTTCTTTTGTCTTACCCGGATCGAGGCAAGTCCCAAGGGCAATTCCTTAGAGTGTTTCCATCTCTCAGATCTTGGTGACATCCTTCCTCTCCTCCATTTTGCTTACCTTGCCTGGTGGTTGTTTTCCTGGTAGTTGTTCTCAGACTCCATTGTTCCTTTTTGAAATCTTTGGCTCTTGTCACCAGCAGCAAGGGTTTTGGATTTCAGTTTCATACTGAATTCTCTGCCAGCTCCTGGTTGAAGTGATTGTCCCAACCCTTATAAACTGGAGTTGGAAGCTCCTTTAAGAGCAACTTACACTTTTCTATTTCTTTGTAGGGAAAACTTAGCTGCAAGGCCCAGTCCAGTCCGTCCTGATTCTAACATTAAATAATAGAATTAGTATGTGGTTCCCAGCAATCTGCCAACTCTCTCCCCTCAGATGCTTTTCCACCTGCCTACTCACTTACTACTTAACACTTTTTCTTTTCCCATCCTTTACCCTTTTATTTTCCAGGAGAGGTAGCCTACTCTTATCAGAGAACATATGCCTCTTTTACGTCAGACTTGTATTGTGGTTTGTTGTTGTTGTTTTGGCTTTGTGATCTTGATCAGTTATTTAATATTTAATCATCTATAAAGTATGAATAATGACATATGCCTTGTAGATTTTGTTCTAAGGATTGAGATTATGATTATAAAGTCTCTGGTACAGAGCAGGTCCTCATAAAACAAGAGCTCTTTTTTTCCTCCTTGAATCTATTGCTATGATTTAATTGGCAAATATTTATTAGTGTCTAATATGTGCTAGATTTTGCTGAGGATGCTGAAGAGATCAAAACAAAACTCAGAATCTCTAAATTCAGAAAGTTGCATGATGTACAAAGGAGACTGACATACAAACAAATAACAAGAAATGTGCTAAGTGCAATAGAGGTATATATAAAGTGCTAGAAGCAATTTTTTTCCAGCCCTGTCTGTGGAGTGTTCCCAAGTATTTCTTTTGGAAAAAATACTGGGTAGTCAAGATGGGGGAACAAATGGAAAGAGAGAGAGGAAAAACAACCTTTAAAAGTTTTTGTAATCTGTGAGGTGCCAACCTTTTAAGAATTGATTTTAGCAGTGCCCTTGATAAAATCTCTCATGAAGTCCTTGTACATAAGATGGAGAAATGTGGGCTGGCTGATAGAGTAGCAGGAGGATTTGAAGGCTATATAACTATGTTCAGGATATTTTTCTCCTGCAGTACTTTATTTTTACTTATAAAATCTCTGGGGTGGAAGGAACCTTAGAAATAGATTACCTACTTTCTCTGTACTCTGCTCTCTTTCTCTCCCTTTTAATTCTTAATTCAACAGTACAGAAAGTATATGGTGAAAAACATACCATCTTCCTAATTCAGTCCTCAAGTGTCGCTGTCTTCCTCCACAGAGACAAACGCTATTAATAGTTACTTGTGTGTATCATCTTGTTTTATTATGCATGTCTCTTTATACTTGGTGTTATAGTTATTTGAGTGTATGTTGTCTCCCTTAATACATTGTAAGCTCCTTAGGGCAAGAACCCCACCTCATAATTTCCTATATCTCCCCAAATTACTCACATATTAAAGATTCTCTGTAAATATGGATGAAGATGATTGTCATATATGCAGATGACACAAAACTGGAAAAGAGAGCTAATAACATTAGATGACAGAATCAATATTGCAGATGAACTTGACAGACTGCAATGTTCACCTGAAAAGAACAAGGACATTCCTGGCTGGTGTTGCTCATTGGTCAGGCATTGTCCCATATACCAGAAGGTTGCCAGTTCAATTTCCTAGTCAAGGGCACATGCCAGGTAGGGGCATTCAGGAGACAGCACATAAATGTTACTAGTATACTCTCACATTTTTGATGTTTCTCTCTCTCCCTCTCTTCCCTCTCTCTCTAAAAGTCAGTAAACTATTGCCAAAAAACAAACAAAACACACACACACACACACACACACACAAAAAAAAACTGGGACAAATATAAAGTTCTGTGTTTAAGGGGAGAGGGGCTACACAACAGTGTAGTTACCCAAGTATAGAGTTAGGAGATTTGTCTTGATAACATATTATTTGAAGATGAGTGGGAAGGGGAGGGAATGGACCTTAATTGCCTTATGTTCAATTTAAGCCAGTGAGAATTTTGGTTGGAAAGGTATAAATCTCTCTCTCAGATACTGCAGGTTGGGGTAGTACACAAAAACCTGTCTTGGTGTGGACTAGGTTTTTAGGTACTATGGCAAATAGGGATAAATAGATCTCATTAGCAAACACGGACATATCTTGTAGCTGGCAGTTTCAGTACATATTTCCAGGTGTATTCTCTGTACTAGAAAGTCAGAAGTTTCTCAGACAGTGCATGTCTCAAGACAGTGCATGGAGTAGGATTTTAAACTTTGCTTCTTGTTATACATTTTGTCTTTTATATTCAGAGTCTACTGCTAACTGATAGCTTTTCTTCATTTTTTGTTGAAAGTGTTGACTTGGAGACAAATAGAGGCCCAGAGCAAGAGGGACAGTGGAATAGTGGCCCAGACTTCCTTAGACATTGAGAAGTAAGTATGTACGCTGTGTTTAACATACCATTGCTTGAATCAAAAAACAAAACAAAAAAAAAGACCAATTTTTCTCTTTCCCTGGGTTTCTTTGGCCTGCCAATCACTTTGTTGCTTGGATGACTGAATTTCTTTTTTTTTATTCTCATTTTATGTCAATGTATGTGGCCTCTGTATATCCCTTTTTATTACCCTAAAAAATTCTGCTATCCACTCCACTTCCACATTGTTCTTAACTTTAGAATCAGAGCATAAGTGAAAACAGTAAAGCTAAATTTCAATGTTAGTTTTATAAAAACAGTTTAGATATGGTGATTTAGTAGAATACAAGAAAGCAAGAAAATGTGTCACACATACCAAATTAAGGATGTTGAGTTATGTTACTCACGTCTGCAACTTTAATTTTAACATTATCTACCAAAATAAACTTTATTCCTCATAACTTAAAATGTGTGTGTGTCTGTGTAATAGTTTTTTATGTACAGTTTACCCCACTGTTTTGGTTGCATTAAACTAATTTTAAAATTAAATTTTTTTTTTCTTTGAATTTACTTCTTAGTGCTTTGGGGAAGCAGCGAGCTATTTTGTGATATAATGATAACAGAAGTTGGGTTGCAAAAGGTTGGGCAATATAGAAGACTTCCTTGGGTTGTGGGTTGCAGTTTGACAAGAAAGCACATTTTAAGGGGTTGGGTTTGAGTGCTTTTTCCCAACAGTAAAGATATTACCAATAGTACATTAGAGCAGTTAGTCATTAGGCAGAAATGTTTACCTTAGAAACAGATTTAGACCCTACATTTTAGAGTTTCCTTCTCCAATCCAGTTGAGCAGAGTTGATCCCTTGCTCCTTTTGGAATCACTGTCATGTGGACATTCTTCTAGGACTGTATTCATCACAGTGTATTGCAGTAATTTGTTTTGTTCATTTTTGAGATTTCTGTTTCCTTGGCTAGGCTGTTAGTTATCTGAAGGCAGATACTTGCCTTCATTCATACTCTATTCTTCAGCATCAAATAAAATGTGTCTGAGACAGCAACAACAATAAAACCTATTTGTTGAGTACCTAATACTGTGTACCAGCCATTGTGCTAGGTGCTTTATTTACTATATAACTGTTACAATAGCTTTTAAGGCAGTTATCCTTTTTTCTTTTAATAAAGAAACTGAAGAGAAATTGTAAGTAACTGGTTGAGATCATGAGGGCAGAACTGACAAAGCCTACTTGGACATGCTCCTTCCTCAGTGATGCCATCTTTCACATAGTAGGAGATTAATAAATGTTTTTGCATTAATTGATAAACTGTGCAAGGTTCACTGGTCTGCTTTTCTCCCATCCAAGTACTAACCAGGTCCGATCCTGCTTAGCTTCCAAGATCAGGGTGGTATGGCCGTAGACTGCTTTTCTCATAAGGAAGAGTTTTACTTGCATTCTCCGAGATGATTAAATACTTGAGACTTACTTCTTCTATTTTAAAAACCTCTAGAGAAATTCTTCCCTAGAGCCAATCCAAATTTTCCTTGCTGTAGTAATTGAGTTGTAATGGCCAGAAAGAGAAATCTAAAATAAAATAGCAAACTTTGAAAAGTTTCCTTTAGCTTCTTAAAACTGAGATGATCTTGAGTCAGGCAAACCTGGCTTCTGACATTTATTAGCTATAGAACCTTGGGGGGAAAAGGACCTTCTTAGTAAGGCTGGGAATTAATTGAGAAATTGTATTTAAAGCACCTTCAGCCATTATTAAATACTTAATAATTGTTCATTTTCTTCCTTTGTTCTCAATGATTCCTTTTTCACCAATGTCCAATTCTCCTTATAATTTCATCTCTTTCCACAAACTGAACTGTTACAAAATGATTAAAAAAAAAAAAAAACTATGTGTATGAAATTATGCAGAAGCCTTTGGCAGAACCACATGGTTTTGGTAACTTCCTAGGTGATGTTGCAGGTTGTAGGATTAAGGAAGTCAGCATATGGACAGACTTGACTTACTAATCAGGCAATTTCATCTATGCTGGTAAAATTGTCATCTTGGTTTAATGCTTTTGATGCTCCCTTTTCTGTCTAAATTTTAACTTCCCTTTGAAAAAACGATTAAACTTAATTTCAGAAGAGTTTGACAGAATATTTTATGTCTAAAGAGCAATCAGCATTGTTTGAGATAGTTAGAAGTGCTGGTTTTATTACCATCCCACGGCTGCAACAGCAGGGTACAGAGAAACAGCCTGGGAAAACCACTAATCACTCAGTCCTTTTGATTGTCATTGGGTTAGTTTTATTGGCAGCCCTGCTGAGCAACTCTGCATTGGTTGACATGTCTCCTCCACAGAATAACTTTGAGACGTAAAAACATGATTTGAGACATATCCAGGAGCCCAGTGGCAAAAGCAAACCTTAAAACTGCTTTTTCTCTCTTTCTTCTGATTGGCTAGGAATGAGAAGTGTTATCTGTGTAAATCCTTGGTCCCATTCAAAGAGTACCAGTGTCATGTAGAGTCCTGTCTCCAGCTTGCAAGGCATGACCAGGGAGACGGGCCTGCAGAGAGTGGGAGAGTACACTCAGCTGAGGAGGGGAAGCAGCGGCAGTGGCTGAGGAACCCAAAGGTAAGTGGAGTGTTTTAACAGGAAAGGCTACCTATCCTTCCACAGTTCTGTTCTGGGGTTTTCTCCTCTTTTCTCCCTCCTTTTCTTCTGTTTATCTTAAAACAAAATTTGTACTTTTAAAAATGTTTTTTTCTTTTAATTAAAAATAGTATGTTCGTTGTAGGAAATATGGGAAGTAGTTTTTTTTTAAGTGTGAAGATACTGAATATAAACTATAATAAAAAATTAAGATAAATGAAGAAGTATGAGGAATCAGGGGACATTATCAACTTTAATTTCTTCCAGTCTTTTTTTCTATACATTTTTAATGTTGTTGGCACCATACAGTCTGTGTGTGTGTGTGTGTGTGTGTGTACACTTAACATTGTAGCATAAACACCTTTCCTGGTTTATTTTTAAACTGTTTATAAAATTACTCTTAATGTTTGTATTACACAGTTACTTACTAGTAATCATTTTCGTTACTGAACATTCAGATTCTTTCCAGTTCTTCTGTATTAAAAGACTGTGTTTAAAACATTAATCAGTCTTTGTACCACTGGTTATTTTCTTAAAATAAATTTCCTAAAGTAGAATTCTTAGAGCAATGGATATAAACATTTAAAAATCTCGTGAAACATACTGTCAAATTGCTTTCCAGAAAGGTTATCCAATCATACCCCCACTGCCAATATGTGCGATCAGCTCTCTCGAATGCTTTGTGTGCCTGGCCTTAGGAAGCTGTGGCTCTGGCCTCTGGTTGCTGGGAAGATGGATGTGCTTTCTGGGCTTTGTGATTAGAGATTAGGAAGAGCAAGTCTTGGTTTAGAGAGAAAGATAAAACAGCAGCTCCGTGTTATAGGCTTCCATAGCAATCACTGTATGCTAAGATGAAGAAGCCATTATCTGTCATGACAGAAGCAGCAACCGTTGTATGAATGGGGTGGTTTGTGGTGGTGATTTGGAGTTAGGTTTTATAGGTATGTGCTTATACCGTAGAGCCAATTTATTCTTATCACTGCCCCTAGAATTTACCTCAAAATTGTCATTTTCTATTCGATATTTAAATCTCTCAGAATGTATAGTAGGTCAAAGGCTGCTTGTATTTAATATGATCTTGGTGGAATAATTTGCCTTCACTCGAATTCGTTCCTCGATAATATTGGCATAAAGATATATTCTCTTCATCACGGTTTGCTTTTTAACTTGTATACCCTCATGTATGAGAAAGCAAAAGACTTTCTTAGAGGTCGCCTCCACACCTCGTTCCTTAGGAGACAGGTGTGATCTGGGCTAAGGAAGTTGTTTTTTAGATTCTCTGCTGTGAGGTAATCCTTCCCTTCCCTTTCATCTATTTGTCTCTGCCACAGGAAAAAGGCCACAGTGAAGGCCGACTCCTCAGTCTCTTGGAACAGTCTGAGCACAAGACTGCAGGTGAGGAACCCAGGGCCAGTTTTCTGGGCTTTTGGCCAAGGCCTTCAAGTGAAAAGAAGCACTGCCTATTCCTTATTTGTTAGAGTTGTGTGGGTACACATTTCACCTGAGTAGCAAGCCTTTGAGACTCGGTCTGGGTCATCTCTCCCTAAGAAAGATGGGAGATAGCCTGTCTTATTCATCATGCATTTCATTTCATGTTTTATGAAGCCTAAACTTCCAGGACTGCCTGTTGAACTGGGAAAAAACATTTCCAGATGACAGGGCAATGACACAAGCAGAGGTGGGGAACCTTTTTTCTGCCAAGGACCATTTGGCTATTTACAACATCATTCACAGACCATGCAAAATTAACAACTTAAAAATTATGTTACTATGAAAAAAAGTACCTAGATTTATTGAATTTTAAGTCCTGCCTGTGGTTGCCTTGGCAGTCAGACCAAATGATATGACCCATAGGCCAGATGTTCTCCACTCCTGTTAAAGGGACAGGCATGGGAAATCAGACATACCAATGTTACTGCTTCCTTCTAATGTTATATGCTTCATTCATATGTTACCTTTAGCTTAGTGTTCCAACCTATGCTCCTTTTGTAGGCAATAATTCTGTCTCTTGGTGCCTAGTATTTAGGGATCAGTAGATTGGTTACAAGCATTGCATAGAATTAATAATACCAACTTCACAGATTGCAAGGCTTATATCTAGTAAAACTCCAAACATATTCCCTGGCACAAGTAGGCCCTGGATAAACGTTAGCTGCTACCATTACTGTGGTTGTTATTTGCTATTGTTAAAATTCACCAGATGCAGATGGGAGAGGAACTTTGGCTTAAGGCTTTCGATGACTCTAAAAAGGCAGCCTCTCTGAGTCCCATGTTCTGCTGTCTCCGGATCAGCAGGTTATGATTCTCTGCAGGTGGCGGACTTCCCTTGGCAACTCCTTTTTCCTCAAGTCCAGATTTGAAGTAGATTTATCCAGAGGTTGTTTATTTAAAGTGTTCACCTCCATACTTCTGCAGCTGAGTGTTGGATCCTAAATGCTCACATTCCATTAGTCTGGGGATTGGGGATTAGTCTGCAGCCACGTGGATAAGCCTGATGAAAAGCAGTGCCCAGAATACAAGAAGCACATGATCAATGAGAAGTGCTATGACTACAACACTACTAACAACATTATTGCTTTTTCTCTCCTATCACAGATGCAGAGATTAAGACCAAGTCTTCAGAAACAGTGGCCTTCAGGTGAATTGGGGTGTGCATTGAAGTGCGGCTGTGAGCAATTCTAAAGAAGTAGAGGCCTAGTTCTGGGTTCTGTGAATAGTATGATAGTCAAAATGTAGAAGGTAGAAATCATGTGGAACTCACTCTCTCTGCCTCTGTGACCCCCTATATCTTAGCTAAGGATGGAAAAGTAGCTCAGTTCACTTACAGTGTTAAAACAAACAGAGCAAAAGCTATTTCTTACTCCTTTCTACCTCTCTATCCCCACCCAACCCTGCTCTTCTGATTTGGATTTCAAGCAGCTTGGGAATTTGAATCCTCCTTCTCTTACTGTATAACTGTGTGGCTTTAAGGTACATGATTTACCCAATGTCTTCATCTGTAAAAGGGGAATGATATTACTTATTTGATTGGATGATTACAAAGATTATGTGAATTAATAATATATGTAAAAACCCCTGCTACAATGCATGATGCATGCTTAGTGCTTATTAGTAGCTGAATATTGAATTCTAAAATTTTTCCTTTCTCTCTAGGGTACCCTCACCAGGGATGGAAGAGGCAGGCTGCAGCAGAGAGATGCAGAGTTCCCTTGCACATCTCGACTTAAATGAGTCTCCCATCAAGTCTTTTGTTTCCATTTCAGAAGCCACAGATTGCTTAGTGGACTTTAAAAAGCAGTTTACTGTCCGGCCAGGCAGCCGGACACGGTCCAAAGCAGGCAGAGGAAGGAGGAGAAAATCCTGAATTTCTAGGGTCCAAAGGTTGACAAAACCATTAGCAATAAGGATGGACCATGGTCATTAAGCTTTAGTGGCTCCCAGTTCATTATTGAGCAAGTTTTGACACGGCATTTTGCACCACCAGCACTCACTCAGCATTCTGATTTTTGTGTTTTCTATGATCTATACAGACAATTGTGTATATAGTATTCGGTTTTATAACAGCCTGTTTGAATTCACTTATAGTTAAAAGAAAATTTAAATATATTTATATATGTTTGTATGAAAAGTTATTTGAATGAGATGGAGATCTTCCTTTTCCCCCCCTCTGTGTTATAAGGTTTTGGGAACAGATATTTTACTTGTGGGGCTAGTTCTAAGACTTACAAATTACATTTCTGAATGAAAGTTTTTACTAGTCTTTGATATACTACCTATAGTCACTGAATGTGTAGTGCATGGTTCCAGAACACTGTGTGGTTATTTCCTTGACCTTTACTTTTTAAACTATTGATTTCAGAGAAGGGAGAAAGAGAGAGAGAGGGAGAAGGAGAAAACAGTGATGAGAGAAAATCATTGATCGGCTGCCTCCTGCATGCTCCCCAATGGAAACAAAGCACTAAACCCAGGCATGTGCCCTGACCGGGGGTTGAACTGTGACGTCCTGGTTCATAGGTCAATGCTCAACCACTGAGCCACATTGGCTGGGCCCCTTGACCTTTTCTGACATTGTTGTGCAAGGTGCCAGTTCATTGAATCCTACTCCTTATTCTGCTATCCCTATTATTCAGTGACCTGTTACTTCATCTCTTTGCCTCACCCAGTTAAGAATTCTCAGCCAGCCCAGCCGGGTGGCTCAGTTGGTTGGAGCATCACCCTGTACACCAAACGGTTGCAGATTTGATTCCCAGTCAGGACACATACGTAGGTTGCAAGTTCGGTCCCCAGTTGGGGGCATGGGTGGTTAGGCAACCGATTGATGTTTTTCTGTCACATAGATGTTTCTCTCTCTTCCCCTCTAAACATATCCCTGGGTGAGAATTAAAAAAAAAAAAAAAATTCCCAGCCAGAGCATAGAACCTTTGAGGGATCTGTCCTGCCATTCTTCTCAGGAATTTGTAAGTGAACACTGTTTTTAGTTACTTCCTATGCTATTATTTTCCTTTGTAGATTAACCAGTGGGGATGCCAAGCATATTCATTTGTTAAAACCATAATTGGTTCTCTTGTGGTCAGAGGTCACAGCAGTAACAGGAATAGGCTCTGTTTTAAGTTCATTAGTAGAAAGCACACATTCTTAGCCACATTGCCCAGGAGCTTCAGAGCAGAACAGTGATGTGGTCCGTCCTCCGTGAATAGGCAGTTGTGGAGTGTATTGGATGGCAAAAGCAACTACCTGAGGAAGACTTAGAAAAGCTAGCTTTGGCCCAAACAGACTTGAAGATGTAATGAAAGACTGTGGGAGATGGTTGCTGAACAGGAAAGGATCCTGGGACAGGATGAACAGGAACACATTCAGACTTTCCTAACTTCTGATTTATCAAGTTCAAAGTTACCTTTTCCTTTATTTAAAACTAGAGGCCCGGTGCATGAAAATTCATGCACTGGAGGGGGGCCCCTCTGCCTGGCCTGCCCCCTCACATACTGAGAGCCCTTAGAAGGGGGAGGTGACACCCCATCACAACTCTGCTACTGCTGCTACCGCTGGCAGTGGAAGCCTCGACTAGACCTGGTTACCTGAACCTCAGGTGGCCCTGGTTGGCTGGGCAGTAGCCATTCGAGGCTTGCCTGGGCCTCAGGCCTGCTCTGGGTGGCTGCGGGGCTGAGGGGCCTGGAGGCTTTGGAGGCAGGTGCCCCAGCGGGGTTGAGGGGACTGGGCGCTGCCATCTTCTGGTTGTAGGTGCCACCATCTTTGAGGACACGGCAGTCAATTAGCATATTCCTTATTGGCTGTGGGCACTGCCATCTTTGTGAAGGCATGATGGTCAATTAGCATATTCCCTCTCTATTAGGATGAAAGCGAGGTGTGTGTTAGACTGGGGAGTTGAGAGAAAGGATGGAAGGCACAGCACAGGCCTTTAGGAAGGCACTGTTTCCTGTCTGGGTGCCTTCCTAAAGGCAAGATGGTAGGTTCACTGTCTATTCCTTCCATGTCTTGGTGTCCTTATATTGAAGCCAACATCACAAAATAGTTATTTTTTGAGCAACTACTATGGTTCAGGCAATGTATGTGACTTCATTTAATCCTCACAACAATCCTGTGAGGTAGTATTAACCTTCCCAATTTTCAGTTGAGGAAACAAAGGCTAAGAACAAACAAAGCCACTTATTGTCCATGGCAATGATACTACAATGCCCCTCCTCTTCACTCCTAAAGAAAATGTCAGATTTTGATTCTAGTATTGATTATTTTCCTGTTTGCCTTCTAATGAAAATTAGTTTATCAATTATGTCCCATTAGCTTAACTCCCACTAGTCTTCTCTTTAAATAGCAATTTATTGGAGGTAGAGTTCTATAAATAGGGGATAGTATGCTATTTCTTGCCTAAAGATAAGAAAAGAGAAAGGCCGATTTTACAAAGTGAATTATTTAGCTTAAAATTGAGCAGTCTACTAGAACCTGGGTCAGTGGCAAATTATTGGAGGAGTGTGTAGAATAAGCAGAACCAGGAACAATAGGGAGTCAAGGGGAAACAGCCAACTCCCCAGTGACCCCTCCCCAACCCCCACTGTTTTTGGTACAGGCGCTGCCTATTTGTCTTATTACTCTCATGGTCCTGTGGGAGGGCATTGTTGAAACAGTGAAGAAGTAGTCTTTGGAGAGTATCACATCAACCTGAGTCTGAACCCCTGCTTTTGATAAAAGTTAACCTCTCTGAGATCTAGTTTCCTCATCCATAAAATGGGGAAATAAAATCTTACAGGGTTTTCAGAGTTAAGATAATGCATATAAAGGCACAGTATCAACCACATAGACTCTAGAGGATGTCATAGAGGATGGTGAGGAAGTGACAGTAGTTGCTATTAAACAAGATGCTAGTTTTGTTGTTGTAAGTAGTGTTACAGTGAGAGGTGGGAAAGCCAGGGAGAGGTGGGGTGCAGATGCAGGAAGAAACAGTTCTTAGAGGAGCAAACCCTCCACCTTAGCTCCATCAACCGCCAGCCTTCCATAGCACCCCTGAACCCTGGGCAATTAGAGCTCTCCTAGGGATCCTGGGGGGCTTCCTGCTTCTCCCAAGACGGGAAGCCCCTGTTCTGCCAGTGTTGTGGACTCATGGAGATCTAGGAGCTCCACGAACTTCACAAGGGTTGCCATAAACTGGGAAAGAGAAGCGGACTTCTCTGTGTTAGGCATTACGATTCTTTCCTTTCGTCCTTCCAATAGCCCTCTGGCGGAAGCAGTGCCTTGCCCGTTTCACTGGGTGCTTACATTCTAGTTAGGTACCCCACAGGGTCCTATTGCAAGAACCTATGACTGCTGTAGCGCTTCTCTAGGCTTCTGTGTCACAGGCTCTGATTTCTTCTCGGTTTGAAAAGACCTGGACTGTTGAAGTTGTGACAAGTAATTAGGGCCCTGAAGCAGCCCTCAGCCAGTGAAAGATGGAAGTTGGAGGATAAATACCACAGCTTCCTCGCCTCTCAGGTGGGTTCATTCTAAACAGTCCTATAGGGCTCAGCTCCCAGCAGCAACTTGATTACATCGTGTCATTGACTTCCTTCCCTTTCTACCTCACTGCTCACTCCCCTGCCAGTGCTTACTGGATCAGGGCTGGGACCTGGGTGAGGGATACTCACTCTTGGGTTCATATAAGGGCGGGGTTGACACGTCCGTGAACTTGGAAGGCCTTTTTACATTCTGTAGCAGGACACCTCACTTGCATCGTTCTAATCCCAGCCCTGGCGTGGATTGCTTTCCAATTAAACTATTTACACTCAAATTGGATCTAATGCTGAGGAACCCAAACTGAGGCAAATCGTATGGGGAAATTAGTCTCCATCTTTTACACATGGACAAACTGAGGCTGAGAGAAGTGAAGAAACGAAGGACCTACAGCTGGTAAGTGGGATGGTATTTGAACTCGGGTCTGCCTGACAGCAGAGCTCACGCTCGTCCTTCACTATACTACCTCCCACCTCTCCCTTGAGTAACTAAATCTCCGTGGAGATTTCGGGCTTGGAAGGGCTCTTTCTCACCTGTGAGGGCAGTCTTGGCTCTAAATGACTTAGCAGGGTGAAGGGAAGGTGGGTAACACTAAGTGGATAGAAGTATCAGTGGGGAGATGGAGGCGTGTGTAAACCTAATGGAAAGGCTGAAGCCATATGCACTAGGAAGGCAGGAAGAAGTTACTGATTTCCTCTCAGTTTCAAAAGCCCTGGACTATTGAGGTTGTGGGAGGGCTCTTCAATTTAACAAAAATTAACATCCTATTCCTTGTAAGAACTAGAAGTGGGCTCTGGAGCTCTAAAGATGAGTAAGAAGCATGTGCTTGGAGCCCACAGTTACCAATGCAAAGATGGTACCCAGGGGCCACACCCAGCTGGGGTTAGGGCCGGGAGGAATTACCAGGAAGGTTCTCCAAGCCTTGCGGATGACTGAAGTGTAATTTAAAGGTGGAAAGAATGGGAAGTCATTCTAGACAGACCAGCATGAACAAAGACCTAACAGTAAAGCAGCTTGATGGGTATAAGAAGCACAAGTCATACCTACTGAAAGGGCATGGGGGGAACTGTGGGGAGCTTATCTAGGGCCTGTTTGCCCTGTTGTGGGGCACTGTCTGCTGTGAGAAGCAAGCCAGGGAGTAGCTCAGCAGGGAGGGTCTTGCTCCTAGCCCAGCAGAACTCAGCAGTGCCCCACCTTTCCTCCTGCTGACCTCCTCCCCATTTCTCAGTTCCTTCTGGATAGCTCAAATTTTATCTAATTCTGGGGAACCCAAACTAAGGCAAATTCTGTGGAGAAATTAGTCAGGATTTGTCCTTCCACTTATGAGTCAGAGGCCATCTGGTGTGTGAGGAGAATTGTTGGCCACTACTGTGCCTAGACTACAGCAAGGACTATCAGCTGTTCACAGACCTCAAATCCAGGTTGCCTCCTCCCTCCAAAGGCACACTCAACCTAGGGTTCTGGGATCTTTGCTCCTGGGGAATGGACACAGATTTCCAGAAATAGACCAGGCGTCCTGGCACTCTGGGTCAGGAAACTGCAGACTGGCTGCCAGCATGAATCACAGCTGGGCCTTTCACATTCAGTTTCATATTATCTCCCAACTGAACAAAGTTGAGAGAGACTGGAAATCCAGGCTAGGCAGAACACTGTG